CAGTTCTGCGCCATGTTCGAATGTCACGCCTACCCCGTCTCAGGGATAAGGATATACTTGTTGCAAATGCTTCCAAGGTTCTGTGGTATTTTGACGCGTCACAAAAACAGTCTTGCAGATTTTGTGCTTGAAGAACAAATTTACCACCGATGACGTGCTATGTGGGGACTGCACACCATCATCGTATCTCCTTCCAACCAGACATTTACTATATTATTAGCATTTTTACTGAATACATTTTTGCAATGGTCAAGCTCCTAACGGATGTCTGGCCGATTACTGCGTCAACATTCGCTTGAGACTAACCAGTAGCGGCAGCTCCGAGACCGACACCGAGAAGAGCACTGTCTCCGCACGCAGTCATTGCAGAAGCACATCCGGTCACTTTCTTGGCGGCATTTAATCGTTTGTATCGTTCCAGTTCTGCCTGGAACAAATGGCGATTTTTGATTTTTTTTCTACACAGAGCACAGTTCAGCGACGGAAGGGGGGCATTTTGCACTTTTGTTACTTCCCATCGACGTGTCGAGCAATCTAGAGAGTTGCTCCATGAGCTACAAGAGTTGACAGGTTTCACTATTGTGGCTCAACGAGCTTGCTCCAGCTCCAGAAGAGTCAGCAGAGTGAGACTTGCAAACCGGAACCAGTGAAAGGACAAATTGGAACCTCCCCCTCGTCGCCGAACTGTGCCGCCACACAAAGTTGACTCACATTGATGTCTTCTTGAAGCTTTTCTAACAAGCGGTTTCTGGTCTCGGCAGAGCCGAACTTTGGGCACTTGTCGTAGATGTTTAATGCAGTGATGCCGTGCTTGATGTGCGCTTCGAGTAATCGCTTCTCGGGCATCATTCGTGGACCCATCATTGACTGAAGTGAAAGAACATATGTATGTAAATAAAAATAAATTCTACGCTTTCTTCTCTTCGAAATCCACGAAGTCCATCCCGGAATATATCGAAACCAGTCGGATCGCACGGCTGACGCCGAGCTCTCCTCCTTCTTTTTAGCTCGGCTTCGCCGAGCTGGCCTGGCTTCGCCAGGCGCACATCATAACGGGATGGAATTAGTTAATTGAGCTGCTCATATTGCGCGGTAGTGGTCGAATCATAATAGACAGAGTAACCTAGCGAAATCTGCACCCCTCAGGGTTGCGGAAGGCGCAGGGGAAGGAAGCAGAGGGGGGGAGGGGCGCCCGGTGCCCCCGGTGCCGCCCCCCTCTCGGCCCCCCACCCTGACCCTGACCCCGCCACTGAGCGCACACGATCGCCAGCTGGCCACGCCAGCAGCTCGTGCAATGGCTCGGAGTGTACCGAATGGTTGTCTTATATAGCGGAGGCCGATATCACGATCAAAACATTGGATTGATACTTCCGCACCGATTTGCCTGTTTGCCTAGCGGTCGTTTTCGCCTCCAGCGAACTCGAACCCGTGAAGCATTTTGCGGACGGACAGACATACATACCTACAAACATACAAACCGACACACAAAGTTACTGGTTTATAGAATGAAAAGGATTGGAACTTTTCTCAATGAGCTCACAGTTATATTCCCATCTGTATCAGTTAAGGAGTTCTCGGAGGCAGATTTAAGAGGCGCAGATCTTCCGGACTCAATGGTGGAAGATACACAAAACTTCACAAGGGTGAAGTGATTATATCAAAGCAGTAAGCGGGGTTAAGAATCTTCACCGATACGGTTACTAAGGCATGTAGGTAATTTAGAACTGAATGAAGATCTCAAAGGACTACTTCTGTGGCTTTGCCATGTGCACCAAAGTGGAGCTTCAAGCACACAACGCTATACTCACCTCAGACGTTTTTGGCCCCTGACCAGGTGAAAGGTAAATGGTGGACCGCAACTGCTAGTGGGTGTGGATTTTTCCGCCCAAAATGTTTGCACATGCAAAGGGGCCTAACAGGGTTGCGGCCCTCAAGAGCGGTCTCCATATTCCGCTCGCGCTAATCTCAAGGCACAGCATTTGCGCCGATACCGAGGTCCCGTAGCGATACACGCACTCAGCGCGTGTAAAGAACAGATCAGTTTGCGAACGATCGCGCAGGCAGTCAGCGTGGCTGTGCTATTAGCAAGGGTGTGGCTTGTCGCATGGCGGTGGTGTTAGCGTGGGCGGGAGTTTTGAGACACCACTCGGGTATCACGTACATTTACCAGCTACATTTTCGTGCATTTTGACGCAGAAAATGCGCGCATACTACTGGCAGGCCCTGCGGACCCACCTTCCCAAACATTGGCTAGACCAGGATCCACGGAGGTGAGTGTGGACTTTGTGTTTCACTTCGCGTTTCTCGACTCTGAAGGCATTAACAGCCCTCCGCGAGGTGCACCAGTGTGATTGGAGTTCCCTGACTGGCCGCGTCATGAAAGTTTGCTGGTCCCCAGCCCTATCATCTAACCTAAGCGAGTCCCACATCTCACCGATCCATTATCTTATTCATTATAAGTGGTCAATATAAAGAAAAGCGTATAAGATTTGCCTATAAACATAAAAGAACTTTAAAGCGACTGACTCGATCCATTCCCCGACAGTAAGCAACTTTGGCTTCGTGAGCTGCTTCAATGCATATCAACTTTGCATTTTTGCGGTTCAGAATTACTGTTTGCCACAGGGTACAGCTTGTTTCCGTCAAACGAATTTGACATATTCCTGAATTTACTAGCACATACGAGCTTGTTGTCCTGAACTGGCAATCTCACCTTGAAGTACTGCACGAGTTTTCGACAAGTGACCGGTTTCCCATTAATGTATTTCGGCTGAAGGGCGTGAGGATTCAGCAAGGCAGGAACCATCTTCTTCATTTCTTCCCGAAAAATCGGCCGCAAGTCTAGAAGAAAGTCATCATATCGAAGCCGAACTTACAGACACATGTAATCTCATTACCTTTCACATGGCCCCTAAACGATTGCCTCTCGGCAACGCGATAGCCGGGGTAGGGGAGAAGGAAACACAATATTTGCTCAAAACAATCGGACAGTTGTTCCCGAACACTACGAATTTCTTCGGGTTGATCAGCACTGACCTAAAAGAGCAGTGTTGACCATTGGTTGCACTCCTAAAAGACCCAATATTAGGGAAAACACTATCAATCTGTTAGGTTTAGCGTAACGAACCTTGAGAACTTGCTGTAAGAACTTGGTCCCGCCATCCTCGCCATAGCCATATTCTTCTGGATTCCGAAAGTCCCTCACACAAAAGACGAGTGTCTGGAAAAGGCCGGTTGGTTGACTGGTAGTCCTTGAGAGTGTACTGAAAATTACCTGAAATGGTTTGCCGAAGCGTTGGGCTTCCGTCATGGCCAGTCGACCGTATTCGACAAACAAGGAAAGATGTTGCAAGGCATCCTCTTGTATATTATCCACTACATTGTAAATCTGAACGAATAGCACCTGTTATATAAGGAACCACGCGAGCAAAGTGACACAGTTAGTGAACCAAGAGAGGAACAAAGATGAGGCACCGCGACATTTTTTGCACTACAGAGGGAAGAATTGAGTTTTCCATAAAACTACAGACGGAGGCAAACAAGCAGCGGATTCTCAGAAACGGGAGACGGGCAAGAGAATCGTAATTTGCCGCTCCGCCGCGCGCGGCGATGGGCGCGGCGTTTTCTTAACTCGTGTTAACCTGTCGATTGGAGCACCGGACTTCATGTAGACCCCGTCATCGTAGACATTCATGACTATTTTCGGTTCTGAATTGCCTGTTGTCGCCATCTACTACCTGGAACCATCGTCATTTGCGGGCGCGACGTCGCGCGGTGGATTACGATCCTCTTGTCACATACTCCTCAAAAAGCATGCAGAGGTAAAAGCACGTCCATTGCTCCTTATCCTCCCATACAGTTATCGCAATTACAAGCGAGTCATCGTCGTGCACTCCATATCGCAGAGTTGTGCTGGGCGTGATTGCGAACATCGTCTAGGGGCGATTGCGCTTCTAGTGTGAAAAAACCGTTCTGAGAAATTTGTAGCCTTGTCCTTGTCCAGCATATTTAAGGGTAATTGTTGTTTCCAAATGTAAATATCCCATTGATTCCAAATCCCGCACCACCTCCAAACTATAATGAAGGCAGCAGCGCTCTAGGGCGGTAATTTTTTTCCCCTAAGCTAGAGAGTGTAATTATTGCGCAATATGGCCCAATCTGACGCTTTCGCTGAACTTTTACTTTCTTTGCACATCTTTTGACATACAGTCGGTATCATCCCAATCAGCTAGGTCGGTTCCAAGAGGGACTGACTGCCCCCCCCCACAGCGACGTTTCTACTGCTGGTTTTCTGCTTAGATCGACCACTAACCGATTGCCATTGGTAGAGCAAGCAGCCGGGGGTGGGTTCATGCCGCTCTCCTCACACGCCTCCGACTGATGGCGATGTTACAGATTATATGCTAAGAGGCTGTATGTGAAGACACACATGTCTCAGCTTTTTTCTCGGAGATGTTTAATAAGATTTCGTACACTTTCAAGCGCAGTTCGGATGGGTAGGGACATTTTGCTGGTGTTTCACCAGTCACTGCCAATGCATTCCGTAGGGACCTGCAAATTCCTGTAGTGCAGTAGAATGCAGGTCTTACCTGGGTTGGACGTGTAATTTAACAGAAAATAGCAACATTGCCGTAGCTGCGCTCTGATCAACAATCCGCCATCTCCCACTATCCCCCAACGCGCGCAATCGTTACGCCGTGACCAAGAGTACATTTCATATGCAGAAGAAAATTTAAATGTGCAGCTAAGAAAAATTTGACAAAGCTATTGGGAGGTGCGCGATTTTGACTCGCTCTAAGTTTTTTTTGCTGATGAACTATTCAAGAATAAATGCAAAGATGAATGCATGTAAATAGCGAATAAATAATAGTGCAGGTATCGAAGTTGAAAATATGGCGTCAGGAGGTTAGAGTGGTCCGCGACGAACAACCTTGTACGGTTTCGCGGTAAAAAATTCTATGTGGAGAGGGGCGCTGTAGCGCAATATAGGTTCAGTGGCTCCTCCTTTTTTCCAGTGACTCCGCCTCCAGACTCCGCCCCTAATGACCGACTTCCAGTGGAAAATGAGATTGCAGGACGAAAAAGCATGATAATCGCCACTTGTACGATCGTAGAAATTATCGGTGAATCAGCCGTGCATATGAGGGCGTGTTTGGAGATAGAGGTTGATTGGCAGAGCTACAAACTGGCAAATGGGGTTCTATTCTAAGGGCAGTAGAATGTTTTTTTTGTGCTATTTTTGTTCACAGTCGAGTCCCTTGTCGTCTATGAACCCCTCTAATCCACCATCTGAGATGTCGAGTAATCGCGGGTTCCTCCTTTAAGTGCAAATGCCAAGTGAAAATGGTAGAAGATAGAGAGATGAGGCTCTGCACGTAGATAAATGTCTAGAATAGTACAAATGAGTAATTTTTGAAGTAGTTAGGTCAATTTAAAGGCACATTCCGCGATAAAATAAGGCTATGACCTCTCAAATGTGTCGGACGATCCGGAAGGCGATTTTTGAGGCTGCGCTACTTTCAAAATGTGAAAAACGGCAAGGAACTCCGGATCAAGCCTGGAGGCAAGAACTCCGCTAGAAGCTGACTAATTAGGCCCATGGACACCCCTTAGGCCCATGCCGACCCTCACCGGCTGCTAGCTACTAGCTAGTAGCCACTATGTTATCTTTCTCTATAACATTTCGGACTGGTTTACT